TGGGAGAGTATTAATGCTGAGTGAGTCTGTATGAGGAGGGTTCTGTACACGAGCTCAGTTCTGTTCAGGCTGACTATCTGAGAGCATCGAGCGTATGCCATGTCGTGTAATCCTAATAGCTTTCACAGCTGATGGAATGTGTGCTAGTTATGCATGATTCATTCGATTAATTTCTTATTAATAGCTCTTGTAGATCATGATGATTTTCAGCCATGCATTCAAGGAACAATATTTGATATGTTTCATGAAGAAAAATGGAAAAATATATGGAAAAAAGTTAATGCAGGACCACAAAAAATGCTTTCAGGAGAAAAGCTCGCTCTGTGGAACAGCTGTGACTACCTTTTTAATTATACATGAATAACGCCGTGTGTAGTTCACTACAAAGAATGTTTTTCTTAATGAAAGCTGGCGTGTTTCGTGCCGACGTGTTTCGCTGTGTGCGAAAAATATGTGAAACTTTGCTCTGCGGGCCTAAAGTGCAAGAAGGCTTATGATATCAACAATGCAAAATTCTAGCTGTGAAAGCTTCTGCTTCTGGGGTTACATAAAGACGTATGCAAGAGTTTACGTTTTGTTGATTTTGTAACTGAAAACAGGTTAAAACATCCTCTACAGGGGCTAAACTTCAATTTTATGCAAATTCTAGTGGAGATTTTCTGTTTGTCTGCTGAGTTTAACATATAGGGAAAAAACATTAAATGTAAACTGTGCCATAACTTTTGCACAGGCCATATTTTATGTTTTTTTGTATGTTTTGTATCTTAAATTCAGCAAATAAACAGTAATTGTGCATTAAAATGTGCAGACGTGTGTTCTCTGTAGAGGATGTGTAATTTATTTTCACTGAGAAAATCAACCAAACAAGTCATTTGAGTGAACATCTTAAAGGGGAATTCCAATTATAATTAAATCAATGTAAACAAAGTCATTCCGAGTGGTTCGATGTGAAACGCTCCGTTCTAGAGAGTCATAATTGTTCACAGTGGTGGTGATGGGAACCAGATGTCTCCAGCCGTTCAATGCTTCTAAAAGCTCCCTCACAGGAAGCTATTGCAGAATGTTATGAGTATGATGCCTAAAGCCTGAGATGTTGTTTTAGAATAGTTTTGAGATAAGGTTTTGGCCTGAAACATATTTTTAACATATTCACGGCGTAAAGGTTCATGAAAGGAGTTGGAGTCATGCAAGGAAGGCAAAATAGTCCACAAAAGAAACAGTTTCGATCACTGTTATTTTGGCCAGAAAACCAGATTAATCTAGTAATGAATGGAATTGCAAATGTTTAACCAGAGCAGCTCAACAGCCCTGTTTATGACATTGTAATCTATGTTAGATACAATAAATGTGGAATTCAACGATATAAATTCAAAAAGTTATGTCCACGTGAGAATACTCGTCTTACTATGGTTTTCATGAAATCAATCAATAAACAAAAGACAGGTTTTTAAACTAGTGGTAGTTTTACCATCACTGAGGGTGTTACCATAGTAACCTGGGTAGCCACCATTGGGCCCAGGCCTAATTATAAACTTTATGTATCAAACTCAGAAGACATGTGCAGATGTGAGACAGATGACCTGGTTCCTATCACCACTGTGCAGAAATCTGAATCAGTAAGTTTCTCTACACTGACTACGATTACATACAAAGATTTTTGCCAGATTAAGACTGAGGAGTTTTTATGCTCACTCTACTCAACAATCTGATGGAAAATCTGTTTACATGCTCACTACAAGTAATCCGATCCAAAATGATGCGCATGCGTAGAGTACAGCTTAGTGCAGACGTGACCATGACAACCAGCATCACGTGAGTCCAGTCAGAGTGAGACGAGCAGCAGTGAGCAGTGCTTGTGTTTTTAATTACTTTAAAATGATGTCAGACTCAGGAAAACGTCCTTCACGTGTCCTTATTAAAGAAGGCCGAGAGGAAGACGTTGCGTTCTGAGACACATAAGCTGGACGTCCCACCGCCGTCTTTTAAAGATCAGAGCATAAACTTCGTCTCATCTGCTGACCAGTTTCTGCTCCGCCATGTTGAACTTAAACTTTCCAACTTGGGATGTAATCAGATACAGACGTTTAAATGGTTATTATTCCTCTATCTAACGGATTATTTACCTATAGGATTACCCACCTTGGTAGAAATTGTATTCTGAATGGCCTCAATCGGACTAGTCTAGGCTGACTGAGGTGTTTAAATGGACGTATTGTATTCTGATTGAGCTATTAGTTGGATTATTAATGGATTATCAGGCTGCATGTAAACGTGGCTAATGAACCACTTTACAACAAACCACTGAATGACTTTTACATTTCAATTATTGAATTATGCAAAAATCCCCTTCAATTGCCAAAAACATCACAAATATAGTGTTTCATTATTGAAAACTATCCGTCGGCAAAGCTTTGGATTACAACCAAAAAGCTGGCATGTCTTGGAATCTAAATTGCTTTAAGAAACTGGATATTCCCTGGCTGTGGGAAGGGATGCTGGTGTATGTAATGAATGGCTAAATTACGTAATCTGAATCACCTCTCTTTTTTTAACCACAGTGTATACTGCTCTCATGAGTAGGGAAGGGCATGGTTATCTGCACTGCAAATGAACATATCAGGTAGACGGTAGCAGTACACAAGGACAAACAGGCCTGCCCCAGGACTAAAATGGGTTTTGAGCTCTGTGATAACAGTTATCAAGCATGAAAGCTTTTAGTGTGAACTCTACAGTCCCGTAATGGAGTGACTCAGCTCATTCAAAATAGATTAAAATGGAAATATCAACTTAACAGTGGCTCCATCAATAATATAGAGAATTTATTCACTTTGAACATGTTCATGTGTCCTGTAGCAACCCTTTAAAAAGGGCTGAAAATCCTTACTGCTATAGAACCGCAGTCTGTAGCTGGTAAAAGTTCTATGTCTGAGGAGCGTGCTGCCACTGGTAAAATATTACCTCTGTAATATGGGATGCCACTGGCAGTCATCTCACGCTTCTCTGCTCCCTCTTCCTTTGACTGATGACTCCACTGCAGGTCCTGCACCAAGACATCCTTCATGCTGCACTTAGAGCAGCTCATCCTAATCCACGGTACTGTCCTGATCTACCGTCACTGGCTTCTACCAGACTGACTATTGCTTTTCATGTGAATGCAATAAAGTCTGATTTGAAAGACTGACTGTGCTACCCCATAACAAATAGAGCAAAAAGAAAAATAGGCCACTTTAGGTACATAGCTGGCATTAAGTGTCCTTACAGACTGCTTAAAAGTGCATAAAAAGGTCCATTCTGGAAGTCTTATGGACATAAGATGAATGAAACCCTGCATCATGATGATGCAAAGAGGAAAAAAAACACCTGATCTGATAAACATGGTGGTTTAGGCATGGATGAAACCAGATCACTCATCTTTATTGATGATGTGATGGTCTGACAGCAGCTGCGGGATGATGCTGTTTCACTTTGCAGCAGGACAATGACCAAATATATTGCTGACACCACTGCGCACATACAGCTAGTATAATCTGCATAGAAAAGCACTGAGCAGTAGAATGGGATGCTCTGAAGTAGCTGCATGAGCCTAAGGTCACTGTGCCCAATGCCAGGTGTGGACTAGAGGGGTATAAAGCACCCCAGCACTGGGCCGTGGAGCAGTAGAACTATGTTCTCTTGAGTGATGGAGCTCCATCCAATACCTTTGGGATGAGTTGGAGTGATCCAGAACTGACCATCTAACATCAGTACCTTACCTCACTAATGCTCAATCAAGTACTTCCCAGAAGAGTAGAGGCTGTTACTGCAGCAAAGGGGGCAAACTCCCTATTAATACCTTTAAACCTTGGATAAGCAGGCAACCACAAGCGACCTCTATTTTTCACAGTCTAAAGGTGGAATAATCTTGACTGGTCAAGTAAGTCATCTATTTTGAAGAATTTTAAGCCTGCAGATCAATAACTGAAGAAGAAAAAAGTAGGAACTGTGTTACAGGCCTGGCAGAGCATCACCAGGCAAGATATCTGAAGATGGTGAAGTCTGCAAAATGACCATAGATGATTTGTAACCAGGTACTAAATATGTCAATTTCACTTAAAGGGACACTCCGGCCAAAACTAAAAATTCACCCATTGCTGCATTTGTCCACCCACAACCCACACTGGCACCAATGTGGTCTGCAGAAAGTGAGATGTTCCAGTTTAAAGAAAACTCTCGTCTCATGATGTATCTTGAAGGTGGGAGGAACTTTTGAAAAACAACAAACAATTGTGGAATAGACATTTAAAGGCGAGTTCTTAGATTTTTTTCTTTCCACTGGCAGATGGAAGCTCATGTTTCTTCTATGACATCTATATCTATTAGCCTCTACATCAGTGGCTACGCTAGCAGTCAGGATTTCTTTATCACAGTGTGGGGGGGGATTCTCAATGACTGTATGACGTATTTACGTAGTGCATGCTGGGTAATGTAGTGAGAGAACAATGATGAATGAAAACACAAAAAGGACTCTAAAACCGTGTGTTCTGTCAAAGTGATGAGGCTGAGAGATGCAATGCTACGCTATAGAACAGAGGTCACTAATAGGTGGACTGCAGTCCGAGTCTGGACCCAGACGCTGTCCTAGGCAGACCTGGACCTATAACTGATAAACTATGGAGAATTCTTTCATTTCGACGGGGTGGTCCTATTTTAATCGGCGTAACTTTTCTAGCCTCTACGGTTTCGCTTTAGCGGCCTGGGAAACTCACAGACCAATCACATGCCTTGTACATATCACACGTGGCGGTACTCGGCGGATCAGATCTGTGCACTACGATGAGCACTGAGACTCCAGTGAGTAATGCACACACAGGGGAGGGACGAGGCGAGAAACAGCAGTCGGAGAAGAAAGTGAGTCAGAGGGAAGTTATTTCACATGACGTGCTCTAAAAAGAGAAAACTGACCACAAATGTTGTTGAAATATTGCTAAATTGTACTTTATTTGATTTGACATTCAGTTGCTGACTGTATAAGATGTTGATATACCTACTAGGCTACTTCAGTAAACAGTATATGGCACCGAATCATAATGCAAGTTAGACATTATGATGTTCCGGACCTTTGCTTGAGGAAATTTTCTCTAACTGGACCTTATTGAATTTTAATTAAACACCCCTACTTTAGAATCTCACTTAAGAAGGCCGCATATTAAATGCTAGTTTTAGGCCAGAATTCCCCTTTAAGCTTTAGTTGTCCGATTAGTTTAGGTGCCATGAGATGGGTGACTGAACGAAAAGGGCTACACTTTAACTTCAATGACTTCTTCATTTCTCAAATCCACTGTTCTGTAGTACAGAGCAAAACACCAAGAGCTACACCACTGTCCAATTACTTTCAGACTCCACCGTATCTTAGTAATATATTAGGATGACATTGTCTTTGCATGGCTTAATTCACAGTGTACACGTGGCTGAGTCTTGTGTCTTCAATTCATCTACTGGCTCGTCGACTGTTATTGCTTGCATTAGCTGGAAGAGCTCTTCAGTCAGCGAGGTGTTGATTTCCCCCGACTGCAGAACAATCTAAAGTCAAGCTACAGTAGCTTCTCTCAGGGAGAAAAGTTCCCACTCACTCAGTGATTCATAATCTTCAGAGGCACTTCAACAAGGACAGATGGGTCCTCACGATGGAGAGAAATAACTTCCTCTGTGTTCACTTCAGTGGAGTTTTTAAATGCTAATATAGAACGTTTGAATATTTTATGTTATACAGACTCGTTTTCCTCAGAACAAATGTCTATAACCCTCTCAGGTGCCAAAATTGGGGAAAGAAGTTTTTCTCCAAACCAGTCAAGTAGTTGTTGTGATCACGTCAATAGCCAAGTATCCAGTCCTTAGCGTCCGACTGAATTGTTGCAAAGCAGCTGTAAAAGAAAGAAAACATGCTAAGTTACCTTTAAACAGGGGTGACAACTCTATATCTATCTACACCGATCAGGCATAACATTATGACCACCTCCTTGTTTTTACGCTTATTGTCCATTTTATCAGCTCCACTTACTATATAGGTGCACTTTGTAGTTCTACAATTACAGACTGCAGTCCATCTGTTTCTCTGCAGACTTTCTCTGCATGCTGTGTTAGTGTGTGTTGTGCTGGTCTGAGTGGATCAGACAGGAGTTTTTAAACACCTCAGTGTCACTGCTGGACTGAGAATAGTCCACCAACCAAAAATATCCAGCCAACAGCGTCATGTGGGCAGCATCCTGTGACCACTGATGAAGGACTAGAGGATGACCAACACAAACTGTGCAGCAGCAGATGAGCTATCGTCTCTGACTTCACATCTACAAGGTGGACCGACAAGGTAGGAGTGTCTAATAGAGTGGACAGTGAGTGGACACAGTGTTTAAAAACTCCAGCAGCACTGCTATGTCTGATCCACTCAGACCAGCACAACACACACTAACACACCACCACCACGTCAGTGTTACTGCAGTGCTGAGAATGATCCACCACCCAAATAGTACCTGCTCTGTGAGGGTCCATGGGGGTCCTGACCACTGAAGAACAGGGTAAAAGGGGGCTAACAAAGTATGCAGAGAAACAGATGAACTACAAAGTGCACCTATATAGTAAGTGGAGCTGATAAAATGGACAATGAGCGTAGAAACAAGGAGGTGGTCATAATGTTATGCCTGATCGGTGTATATCCTCTGCATTACATCATGTTATCCATCTATCCATCTGTTCATCCGTCTATTCACCCATCTATCCACCCATGCTTTGTCCCGTTTTGCTTGTTTTTTAAACTAATTTTAACTAATATGTTCATACAGTAGCAAGTAATTACACTGCCGTCAAAAGTTTGGGGACACACAGCTGTTCAAGATACATCAAAATCTGACAAGCTGAGCCACGAGTGCAAAACAAACTACTTGATCAAACTACTCAAAATACTTGATTTGCACTCATATGGCTGCACACATCAGTAAAACAGACATCTGAATTTGTGCATCATTCTGTAGTTGGCGTCCTGCCCTTATTAGAACCCTTATTGTGTAGATCTCCAGTGTTGATGCAAAGTCAATGAAATATTGTAGTCTATGCACAAGCTGTGGCTTTTAGCGTTGGTGTCTATTAAAATGGTGTCTACAAGCGCCTAAAATTTAAAGTCTGGAAATGTTGCACTTTTCCCATGTTTAGAACTCCATAAGCACAAATTAGCTGTGTGGTCGAGACTTTTGAGCATTTGATCAGGTAGAAAACATGTTTGTCTTCATCTCTGCCAAATTTCACGTGTCTGGGAATCAAACTTCTGGAGATATTAAACCCAAAACATGACTTCCCAGATCAGATATTTTTTGATTTAGTAAATACTGATGTTTCCACGTGAGTGAAACAATGTAATATTATTGGAATTGGCTTAAAACACTTCATAGGTCACAAGCAACAAAAAAGGATGAACAAAATCTTAGACATGCAGTAACAACTTTATCTGAATTCAAACGGAATGACTAACCTCGATCCTCTAAATTACAAGGTTGCTCAGCAGTCAAATATGAATAATGCTTCTTCCAAGCTACCAGCAAGCAAACGCTCCATTAAAATGATGCTCCATGAAAGTAAGTTTACTATGAAATTTCAACACTATTACATATCAGCACCAGCTAACTGTAGGCTACTACTCCCAGAGCAACTTAGCTACCACACTTGACAAAGTCTGCTGGTTTGGGGTATTTTGGTGGGGTTGCCTAATTCCTATGATGTCAGTTGAATGTGCAGCAGTCTTAGCACGCAAGCAGCAATATTTGTATTTCAACTTTTTAACAACCTTGTAACTCAGAGGATACAATAAATTTAGATGAACAAATGCACACACAGTATTGGGTTTGGAACTTTTGTTTACCGCAGGGTCAAAAATGACATTCAATTTTCCCATAAAAAAAAACTGCTTAGGCCTGGAGTTCCTAACACGGGCACAACGCTGACAACTTTAGAGTTCTCCCAAATTACTAAAAAACCATGTACATGAAATAATCTTTAACCATCACATTACCTGGCAACCTCATTATTAATAAACACAATGAATCATTGGTATATTATCATATCATATTTTACCACTAAATTTAACACTGCATCTAACAGTAGCCCTGAAACGAACTGTTATGGCTTACTGTTGTATCAATAAATGAACATTTATAACATGATTTCATTACAGGTTTGCTATAAATTAGCATATTAGAGACTAGGCATGTTTATTTAGAAGAAAACAATATCCCGCATAAATATTAGTGACTGTACTAGTAACAGTGCTACACTGAAAACTGGACACATTTTCTCCCTTGCGTGATGTCAGCACTCAAACCACTCAGGCGTTTAAATCACCTTTGGGCTAAAAGAGCTTCAATATGTTCTTTTAACAACAGTTCGGAAAAGAAAACTGTCAAAACATTATTCAGAGAAACCCCCACTTCATAACAGGGAAGATGGTATAGTGTAGTGGGTAACACCTCTGCCTTCTGCGCTGTAGATTGGGGTTCAGTGCCCGCCTGGGTAAGCACCCTACACTATACCCATTAGAGTCCTTGGGCAAGACTCCGAACACTACCTTCACCTACCTGTGTAAAATGATCAAATTGTAAGTCACTCTGGATGCCAAATGCCATAAATATAAAATGAAAGAAATAATTGTTTACACTGAGCACTGTTTGTTGAAGCGAAATATACTCAAAGTATTACACAACAGGCGTTTTATATTAGTAAAACCTATAACATAATTGAAAAGTAACAGTGAATGAACTTCAAAAGAAGGTTAGGTGTCCTGAGACCTCCGCACTTTTAAAAATAAAGGTGCCACAACTGCTACTTTTGGTTCACTAAAGAAGCATCTTTGCAACAGAGATTTCTGAGTGCGAAAAACTTTTCAAAAGTTTGAAGAACCTTCACATAATCTAAAGGTTCGATGCCAATTTAAGGGTTCTTCTTTCTTACCTTTGCATAAGGTGAAGGTTCCTTGAACTTCAAAATGTTCTTTACACTCACAATTTTTGTAAAGGACCGTGTATTGAGAGTGGTTCTTCTACAGCAGAGGTAACTTTTCTAGCCTTTACGGTTTCACTTTAGCAGCCCGGGAAACTCACAGACCAATCGCACGCATTGTACATATTACACGTGACGCTACTCAGCCAATCAGATCTGTGCATTACGATGAGCACTGAGACTCCAGTGAGTAATGCACACACAGGGGAGGGACGAGGCGAGAAAGTGAGTCATAGGGAAGTTATTTCACATGACGTGCTCTAAAAAGAGAAAACTGACCACAAATGTTGTTGAAATATGACTGAATTGTACTTTATTTGATTTGACATTCAGTTGTTGACTGTATAAGATGCTGATATACCTACTAGGCTACTTCAGTATAGAGTATACGGCACTGAATCATGATGCAAGTTAGACATTATGATGTTCCGGACCTCTGCTTGAGGAAATTTTCTCTAACTGGACCTTATTGAATTTTGATTAAATACCCCTGTTCTACAGCATCACACAAGAAACTCTTTTTGGCCTCTGTCTATTGAAAGATATGGCATGGTAGACCAGCAATTACAGTTCCTTCTTGTGGCAGTACAGCAGTCTCATTCTGTATCTCCTATCCGTCCACCTCACTTTGGTTACAGTACCTTGCATCAGGGCCGTGCGTGGTCAGAAGTCCAGCGTGTCGTGTTGGTAGCGCAGGCGGGGGCTGTTCTCACTGTAAAACTGGCTGAACCAGCGCCGGTGCTTCTGGATGGCTGAGTCCTCCTTCACCAGCATGGGGTTGGAGATGTACTTCTTATTGTTCCAAATCATCACGTCCCGCTCAAACTGCCACAGAACACACAGTCCATCTCTCTTATTGATTGCTTATTAGGGAAAACCTGAATTATTGATCAAGACCTGAGGTCCCTCAGGGTGATGTAGTACAGGGACTGCAGTGTCATGTCTTATTACTGTTCCACATAATCACATCCCTGTCAAACGGCCAAGAAGACAATCAATTACCGATATTGACTTACGATGACAAAACCCAGAGGTTTTTCCAGTTAAGTCACTGAATCAATTGCTGTCTAGTACTTACAGTAAAACTCAATGCAATGCTAGTTGGGCTCAATTACAAACAAATGTTAAATATAATGAATTTAATGAAATTATGAAACATAATGACTAATGACTCATTCAATTTTTAAATAAAAATAACTAAATAAATAATAGATAGGCAAACATGTCACAATATTCAACACTAATGATATTCGCTGTGTTCCAATTCAGGGGCTGCGTCCTTCGGGGGCTGCATTTGAAGGCCGATTGCGTCACAGCGGCACGACTAGGCCGTCCCGTTTTGAAGGCTCTTTCATCTGCAGCCAAGAAATGTGTCCTTCTTTTACATGGCAACTAAGGTTCCAATGGGTGGATCACTCGATCACTCGAGGATTTGAGAACATGGCGGCGTCAGTAGAGCGAAGAGCAGCTGAGGAGACACTTTTAAATGTATGTATTGGGTTTAAACTGAGTCAAAAATTTGTTTACAAATGTTTAAAAAGCCAATGTGGTCTGATGCAAAACTTACGCCAACGTTTTGTTTTGTTTTAGGGAGCAAAGAGCAGAAAGAGAGATATATAAGACAGAGAGGGGATCTCCAGCTCGAATAAAAAAATAAATAAATAAAAATAAATCATATAAAAATAAAAAGGTTTCTGGCTCCATTTTTAAAGAACTTTACCTTGACTGTATTAATAAAAATATATAATTATATATATATAATTATATATATATATATATATATATATATATATATATATATATATATATATATTGATTTTCTAAGTTGGCAACCCAAATGTTAAGAAGAGCCATTTTCTCCTGTCAACAAAAATCAAACCACCTTGGGAGCCACAACATTTTATGTCCATTTTACCATCTTGGCTGTAAATATGTCTCAGTATGTGCTAATGTAGTAGTACAGGCTAAAAATTTAATATAAACAAAAATGCAGACTCACTTTGCTCTGCACTGAGCTCTATAGCTGCTTTTCTCGCATCTCTGACAGGAAACTTTTCCGCAAAAGTATAGTTTCTTGTAAAATATCTCTCAACGTTCAATTTCTTTACAAGGCCGAAGTCGCTGCTCATTCGCCAGATTCTTGTTCGAATTTTCCCGTTCCACCTTAAATGGTGCCTGAGGTGCCAGAATGTAACTGCTGCACCATTTAAGGCGGAACCGGAAGATTCGAACAAGAAGCTGGAGAACGAGAAGCGACTTCAGCTTTGAGACTTTCTAGTGTTTGACAGTTTCTAATTGCAGATTAAACGTATCAGGAAACCAGGTGGAGTGATTATAAATGCAAATAAGTCCATTCGTCTTGAAATTATTGATGTTTGTCTTAAATCTTTCGCTTTGCCTTTTGTTAGCTACTAGCTAGGTGAGACTGTTGTCTGCGTTACTGTGATGACCAGCAGTCTGCGCTGATCTTCAGGGTTAAATGTTGGTGAACTAATAGTTATAGGCTACATTAACTCCAGCATTTAAGACCATTTATTGTTAAAACTGTGTTGAACGATCAGCAGAGCTTTATTTTACTGTAAAGGAGGATTATTTTATTTTTACCTACAAATCTAATTCTGCTGTGGGGCCACAACAGGGCAGTAAAAGAGGAGCCGTATGTTGCCGACCCCTGTTCTAGGAGGACGAGGAGTCCTGCAGAAAGTGGTTCAAAAAGCTATGCTAATTTAACTTGACCTGACTGGTATCTGTGACCTGTAAACTGTGACATAAGGTTAAGGGATTATCATTATATAAAATTTTGGCACTGGCACTGAACACAAGAAATGTACCCCCATTATTTTTTTGTGTTTTGTAATCACACTACTCACTCCATTGAGACATAAACAGTGTGATAATTACACTTCCAGGCCTGCAGTGAGTGTGATCAGATGGAGGAGTTGTTACAGCAGTTAGAGCTGTGTTATTGCACTGTACGAGTGTGTGTGTGTGTGTGTTACCTGGATGCACTCTGCTCGCAGGATAAACTTTGGAACCAGTGGAGGGATGCTGCTCTGGTAGAAGATAGTGTGTGAGACACACTGCAGCAGAGGCTCCACCGGGGTCACGCAGTGCATGATCACCCCCCGGCCCAGGAAACTGTGGTCAAACAGCAGGAACACCAAACCCGGACCCACCTGAACACACACGCACAGTGCCTGTTAGTTCTCAATCATAAAGCAACACAAAGACCTGCTGCATACTGTCATAAACAGTGATAGGCAGTACTACATGTCTAATGTATCCAGACATCCCTTCTTCTGAATGCTAATTAGTGAATTTAGCTACTTCAAGGGTCCATATGTAGAAAAACAGAATTTCTAAAATGAAGCTGGATGTTTAATGTAGTTTCTAAACGTACCCTTCACTCCCCATTCAATACAGTCCATATATGGAAATTAAGCTGCATAAATACCCCGTTTGGAATTCATGGTTTTTGTGATATCCATGTATTCAGCCTACAGCAGTTTCATGCTCATGCTGAAGTTATACAGAGTGTTTCAATCTGCTTTTTGAATGAGGCACAATACAGGACAGTTTAGTTTATGTCTAAAATAGACTGTAAAATGGTCAGGAAAAGGTTTTTGGTAAAATCACTGACCTAAATGTCATGAGGACCTCCAGGGAAAAATAAATAAGAAAGTATTTAAGCGCAAACTGCACAAAAAGGAATAAAAAACATAAATAAATCAGGGATCAGGTTATCATGGATATAATGCTCGTACCACTAAAACTGAAAATCAACATTGCTGTGTGCCACCAATACAGATTTAGATGATATACACTATACAGTCGCATATAAATGTTTAAAAATCCCTGGTCAAATTATGTTTTTGCTGATTTTCTAAGTGAAAATATGTTAACACATCCTCTACAGGGGCACACTTAAACATTATATGTTTTTGCACATTTTAGTGCATAATTTCTATTTATTTGCCATGTTATGTTTTATGTTTTCCAAGCATGATAAGCTCAGAAAATAAACCGTAATTGTTCATTAAAATGTGCAGAGATGTGTCCTCAGTACAAGATGTGTTAACTTATTTTCATCAACATCAACACAAACTTTTGTGAAAGACTGCATGTCTAAAAGTTTGTATAAGTTTCTTCTGAAATGAAGGGTGTTAATAGTGAGTTTGTCCCCCTTTACTGCAGTAACAGCCTCTACTCTTCTAGGAAGGCTTTACACTAAATGTTGGAACATTGCTGTGCGGATTTGACTGCATTCAGCCGCAAGAGCATTAGTGAGGTCAGGTACTGATGTTGGATGATCAGCTCTGAGTCACTCCAACTCATCCCAAAGGTATTGGATGGAGCTCCATCACTACAGAGATCACAGTTCCACTGCTCAACAGCCCAGCGCTGGGGGGCTTTAGACCCCTCTAGTCCAAGCTTGTCATTAGATATGGTGACCTCAGGCTCATGTGCAGTGGCTCCAGCGTGTCTCATTCTATTGGTCAATGATTATACAAGCTGTGTGAGCACAACTGGGTATCTGACTCATTAATGTGTGCACCTTAAAGTAGCTGAATTGAGTAAAAAGATAGACTGTCTGAATACTTTTGGACAGATCACGGACAGGCATTGTTCACTGTTTCTCATCTCTAGCGACGAGCCTCTTACACTGTTTGTAAGTAATTCTGGATTATATCATTGTCTGTCTCATCATTGCTCATCTGTGTCATATGATATTACATCACACTGCATCACGAGCCAAATCCCAAACGTTTCACTCTAGAAGAAGCATCTTCAGCACAAACAAGCCCAGCTTTCCTCTGAGCTCGCGCTAAACCGCGAGGAGTCCAATGACCTTCAGCTTCACTGCACCGCACACTCCTGTGTTGCCTTGAGTTATGACACTTCTCCCACATACTGCTACATTTAATTAGCGTTGCCATGGTTACAAGGTAGCGCTTTTGAAAGACGCCACAATCCCACAGTCTAGACACAAATAAGCGAATGCTGGAGGTGAACTGTGTGTGAAGGACTGAATGTTTTACAGCTGTACAAAACTCCCTTTTACTGACTGCAGTGCTGTGCAAAAGATCAGCCTTCGTTTATTTACTTTCCAGTCAAAATGGTCATTATGAAAGTTATGATTATGAAAGCAGGACATATCCCAGAGGGAAGAATATCTTTCTTAAGATTGTCTTAGAGGAATGAAGCAGATCTTAATATTATATTAATGATTTATGACACAGATTTCTGAATTGTTTCTCCTAACCCCCCCCCCCTTAGGAGAAAAGAGGAGATTAACATCAGTGTTTCACTGTGAGAAGTTCTGGTGATGAAGGAGAAAAGCGAGAGATCTCCTTCTACACTGATGGAGTTCTGTAATATATAAAAGAGCGCTATAAGAAAACGATGAGATCTCACACTTTTCTCATGGAGATATTATTCAGCTGAGACGAGTCAGACACTAAAGAGTTGAGCCACATCTGTGACAAGAAAGAATTTCAGAAACAGGAGAAAATGGCTTAAGTCTCACTCTGATTTCAAACTGGACTTTACCACGTCTAGGAGAAGAACCTGAGATCCAGAGGAGATCTCATTTAAATTTCCTATATGTTTAACAGAAACAAGCCCAACAAACTAAATATAATATCAAATCTATCAGCATGTATTGTGTCCACTCTGCCTTTATTACAGCTCCCATTTTTCAGGGGACTAAGATTTTCAAAGAAATCTGCAGGGATATTTTTCCACACCACCAAAGTCACACACCCAGGGATGCCGAGGTCTGGACTCTGGAGTGGTCAGTCCATTGTTCAGCTTGATGGCTACACATCCTTTCAGACCCATAGCGCTGAGTCGTCTTCTTACAGTGGAAGGATGGACAGAAACACCTGTGGATGTTTTCAGATCTGAAGCAGCTTGATTTTCTCCTCTCTCTCAAAGATGAGAGCTTTAAGTCCTGTTTATCTGATGGGGGCAGTTTTGGTGTCGACCAGCTCTTCCAGGTGGTTGTTAGGAGGCCCATTTTCCAGGTTTGAACGCTCCTGTTTTCACTTATTTTCCCTATCGACTTTCGCACAGTACCATATGCATAAAATCCTTTATATTTGTGTGAGAGGAAGGATTTTTTTAGTTATACTGCAAGATATTTTCTCAATACACAGTATGCATTACAATATTGATAATGTCTGAGGTTTGATAAGTTGGAAAACCCTCATTAAAATTACTATAAAAAATTATGAATACAGTGATTTTATGTAACATTTCACAAACTGATCAGCTCAAAATCCAATTAGATAATCCAATTATAGTCTCTTTGTAATGAAATTAATAAGTCTGTGTTCTTTAAGTCCTGACGATGTGACAGAATGTGATGCAATTTATCATGATAACGATAAATATAGTCATATTTTCCAGTCCTAACTACAGGACAGATGCACTGCTACTGTGCCTGCCTTGGTTGGGTCTCTCATCTCCATTTAATATGATCTGTTCTAAAGGCAAATAAAAATCATGCCATTGTGTTAAATGCAATAATATGCCACGACATGCTCTATAATTTGCTCTATAATTTGCTCTATATAATTCAACACGCTTTACTTCAGTGGGCCTGGGCTCCATGTTATTCACAAGCAACTCTACTAAAGAACGGAAGTGCAATCATATTTGACAGCAAGACTGGCCTATGACTACTCATTAGTCACAGCTCAGTCAGCACTTCTCTCAGTCTGAAAGCTCTCTGCTGCCCCCTGCCTGTCAGTTCAGATATATTACCTGTCTGGCCACCACGCTCAAGTCCAAAAGAGGCCAGTGACGTCCGAACACAGTCAGAGCGTGCTTCACCAGCATCTGAGAACAGTGCTTATTAGGCTCAGGCTCTGGATTCCACTCCACCTGAAAACAGACACACAAAGCGCTACAGGTGAAAACGATCACATCAGTTTACAGTCGTACACAAAACATTGAACACCCTTAGAGTAAGGTAACTCATTCTCTACAAGGAACTTAAATATGGCACTTTTTTGCAAATATTAGCACACATTTTTTTGTTATTTGCTGATTTTAACATACTGAAAAAAGTTACATTTTATGCTTTTATTTTTTTCATATGTTATATTCAGCAAACAAACTGTAAGTGTATTCTCTGTAGAGGACGTGTACTAATTTTGACTTTAAAAAATGAACAAAACACTTAAATAAAGTTGTCACAGCTAATACCCACCTTTTCTATTTAGTGTTATACAGATTTATCTATTCACACAATAAAGAATATAAATGTTCGCATTGGTTTTATACACTATAAAATGTGCTGCATTGAGTTTACTTGATTTAAACGTGTTCATCATTATTAAAACACATTATGTCAACAGAATTTCGTGTTTCATTTGGCAATAATTATTTTATTCATGTGGAAATGATGTAGAGAGTCGGGTCAAGTAAATCCACTGCATTACATCTTTCAGTGTAAATTTAAAGGCATAAAAAAAACCTTTGAAAAATGTTGCTTCTTCAGTTTTGCACTAGAGATATGAGGCTAACATTGCTAACAAATACTAGAAGTCAGTAGTCACCCAAAAATTCTCTGGAACTACATTCAAGTCTTCATTAAGGTCACACAGAATCATCAGTGTGGTTTAGGACACATTATGACTCACTGTGAACTATAAAAACTTTGTAGCTGAACATCGTGGGCAGCAATTTTAAACCAAGAGGTGACCACTGGTTTCTGGTGTTGGCTTCTAGGTGACCACTGGCTTCAAGCCTCATAGCTCTAGCTTAAAAGTGAAGAAGCAAAAAACATCAAATGTGTCTCGGCTGGTCTACTATATTTAGGCTAAATTAGTGGAAAACTTTTCGCCGAGCCACTTTTTTAAGAATATAAACGTTGAACCTGTTTAAATGGGCTGGCACTGTGTCAGTGTGGATTGAATCAAAAAGAAACTTTTGAGCACAAGCGGGATTGGAATGTACAAATCATAGTGATGGTATCACAGTGAGTCATTAAGCAAATGGTATGAATTTCCTCATATTATTTCGATATCCGTAGGATGTGCAGTTAAAACGGACGATGTGAACATTTCATTTTCGAAAAACAGACGTCTCTGTAGTGGATGGAGGCACCCAGTTAGGAAAAGTACAGTAATCAGTGTGTATTCCTGGAAGAAAAGCCTGCAGGCCTTGTGGCATCCAGGAAGAAGTAGGATCTACAGCTGGCCCACAGTGATGCTCACCTTCCAGTCATGGCGAATAAACTCCCAGGTTTTACTGTTGGTGTAGCGCAAATCCACTCCACTCACAATGCCTGGAGTGTGGAGATGGGCCAGGTGAGCGATGTCTGCAGCGTTTTCAGGGATTTCCTGCAGGTAAATAAATGCAGATGTTACTGTCACCTTCATTCGCATTTTTACACACCTAATATTAAAAGACTCATATCCTACTCATTATCTGTTTTTCTTGTATCTTATTTTTGTCCCTAAAGTCCACTTAGGACATCTATGTAGTTTTATGTACTAACATAAAACACACAAAATTCATTTTAACATTACTTTTGATGAACTTTAGGAACGGTGCATTTCAGAAAAGTGAGGAAAATGCAGTTTTCCGTGACATCGGCCCCTCAGTGCACATAAGATAAGATAAAAAGGTAACTATTGTGATAATTAATGGACAAGGTTAACACAAAAAGACAGACACACACTGTTATTGTTCAAAGAAGGACAATTTTGATTGTCTTTGTTCACTATAAGATTTAAAATTGACAGATTTATTGAGTCAGAAGAAAGAAAAGATGCTAAAATATGGTCCAGCTGGATGTTTAGGTCTCAAATGCAAAATCAACATTATACTGATGAAGATATGATGACAATAGTAGATAATTCACTCACGTCCTCAGAAGAAGCCAAGTTTGACTGAATTCTCTTTCAACGTGTTTGCAATCTTCAGGTTCTCTCCACTCTGGGAAGGGGTCCAAAGCACAACCCAGACTACAAAATGCTTTCCCACCAGAGAGGTCACTAAACCCCAAAACCTCTGCAGTGTAGCTTTTTTTTAACTGAAAGCTTAATTTTTATGGTTTCAGAGTGATGAATCACACTTCTCCATCTGTCAGTCTGATGGACGAGTCTGGGTTTGGCGAATGCCAGGAGAACATCACCTGCCTGACTGCAATGTGCCAGCTGTAAAGTTTGGTGGAGGAGGGATGATGATATGGGGTTGTTTTTCAGGGGTTGGTCTAGAACCCTTAGTTCCAGAGAAGGGAAATCTTAATGTTTCAGCACCAAGACATTTCGGGCAATTCTATGCTTCTAACTTTGTGGGAACAGTTTGGGGAAGAACCTTTTCTGTTCCAGCATGACTGAGCCCCAGTGCACAAAGCAAGGTCCATAAAGGCCTGACTGGGTGAGTTTGGTGTGGAAGAACTTGACTGTCCCAATACTTTTGTCCATGTAGTGTATAAAGGTTGTTTTATGAACGTCATACCCCCCCCCAGCCTCAGCAGTACCTCTATGTGTGCATTGATGAAGTGCTCTGTTCGTCCACGGTACACCCACTCTCCCCGGCTGATCTCTCTCTGCTCTGGAACTTTCCAGCCTGGCTGCTCTCCGTCACAGTGGAACCACACCAGCACCTGCCCGTTGACCTCACAGCTCGGCCAGCAGCGCACCTTAGCAAACTCAGGAACTGACCATGCAATTAAAAGATACCATTTTACACGCCGGAATATAGACAGAAAAAATAGTCACATCAGTTAGTAACTAACAAAAATATACAATATCTTTATATATATATATATATATAAAATAAAATATATAATTTATATATATATCAGTAGTTCAATGTTTTTTTAATATCTGTCTTTGTATGCGTTTTATTTAACTATAATGCCCTCTACAAATATTGGCACCCCTGGTATTTATGAGCAAAATGAGCTGTAACAAATATTCTTAACTACTTACCCTTTTTAACCTTTGATTCTAAATAACAGCAAAAAATCTAACCTTTATTTAAGGTATAATGATTGAATGAAAAAACTAAATCTTGTCATGAAATAAATATTTTTCGTAAATCTGTGTGCCACAGTTATGGCACCCCTATAAATTCATGAGTGAAATATGAATAAAGTATATTCACAGTCATATTTTACGTTGACCTGAGCATTTAGAAATGCTTAAATGGTCAGCCATGACTTCATGTTTCACTGGGGAATATTAGATGAAACAAAGGTCAAATTCCCTCAGTCCATCACTATGAGAAAGACCAGAAAATACATTAATGATGTGCGAAAAAAGGTTGATGAGCTGCACAAATCAGGAAATGCCTCAACACAAATCACTAAACAGTTGAAAATGCCCATTTCCAACATCAGGGCAATAATTAAGAAGCTGAATACAACTGGATATGTTAAGAATCTGGCAGGAATAGGATGTATGTCTATATTGACTGCACACACAGTGAGGAGGATGGTCCAAGTGGAAAAAAATCCAAGGATATTCGGACACATGGTATCACAGACTCTATCAAGTACCAGCAGAAATAAAATGAAAACCTGACTCTCTCAGCCAGGAAGCTTAACTGGGCCATAGTTTGGATCTTCCGACAGGACAATGATTCATAGCACTACTTAAAACCTACACAAACATGACCTAAACATCATAGAAAACCTGTGTGATGAGCTAAAGTGGCGAGTCCACAGTGTGGACCTCAGAATCTGAAGGATCTGGAGAGGTTCTATATGGAGGAATGGACTCAGATCACTTGCCATGAGTTCTCCAGTCTCATTAAGCATCATATGAGAACACTCAGAGCTGTTATGTTTGCAAAGGGAGGGTGCACAAAGTATTGAATGAAGAGGTGTCAACAATCGTGGCACACACAGATTTGAGAAAAATACTGATTTCCTGATAAGATGTAGCTTTTTTCAGTTGTTGTACTTCAAGTAAAAGTTAGATTTTTGTTAATATTTTGAATGAAATATCAAAAGGATAATCAACAAAGAATGTTTTTTACAGCCTGTTTTGCACATGTTTACCAGGGGTGCCAATATTTGTGGAGGTTGCTGTGTGCATACTACGGTTCAAAAGTTTGTAGTGACTTGACACATTAATAACTTTTTTAGTATAATAATAACTTATTTTATATTATTTTATTTTGATATTGTAGATTTGTACATTATTTTATAATCATTTATAAAGAAAAATATTATAAAGACACCAGAATGTAGCTTTAGATGTTTTATTCAATTAATTATATATATAGTTTTTTATATATAATTTAGCATTGTATAAGAAGGTATTCAATGATAAATGATCAATTTATAGTAATTTCCTGCCTTCAGGTTTGATCACCACTTATAAAATATAAGGTATTTTGGAAATTAATTTTATTACAACTTCATTCTCAATTCTATACATCTACCTCAATCATTATGGAATCACCTACAATCTGTTTTTGTAGTTTTCTAAAAAGTTACTTGAAGTATAAGCAGTTCATGTCATACATTTATCTGCAACGAAACATGTTTTATATTGTTATACTGTTCTATCTATCAACAAGATGTCAATAGTGTGGACTGACAGTGTGATCTCTTACCTTTCTCAGCATACGGAATCCTGACACACTTCCCATCCTCTCCACGGAACTGCCACCCATGGAAGGGGCATTCGATACAGCTGCCCACCACTCTGCCCCCAACAGCCAGATTGGCTCCCAGGTGGGGGCAGTAGGCATCCACCACATACGCCTTCCCATCCTGACCACGGAACACAGCCACCTGCTCACCTGAGGATACAAACAGGGCATTTACAGGACCTGAGGTCACTCAAACGTCTACAAACATGATGGATATCATCATCAGTAATCTTCACAGAACATCCATAACGGAAAGCGATGCCGTCTTGGTGAGACTAAAGCAGTGCCTAAAATGATCTGAAGAGGGAGGCATTTTGCAAATGATAACTGCTTCCTGAAAGACATAACCAGCCACTGTACAGGTAGACCAAAACACAGAGATTAAAAACTGAAGATAAATATATGAAAATTAATACTAATTATACTCAACAGCAACTCAGATGTAAATATCACTTTGTGAGTGAGTGACCGTATAGTGCCCAATCCTGGTGCTGCAGAGTTTAGGTGCAACCCTAATCAAACACCACTGACCCAGGTCATGAGGATCTTCAGCAGTATCTGAATATCAGAGCCAGCTGTGTTGGATCTGAACTCTACACGGTGGTAAATCTCCAGGTCCCTGATTGGGCAGCCCTGCTGAATATGATCCACTTGCCATAGTGTGTCTTTCTGTGTCCATACTGTTCAGGCTTTAAGAGGGAGGAGCCAAACAAGCCTAAAGTATCAATGGGTAGTGAATTTATGCTGCTGAAGGTTCCTTAAAGGTTCCATGGAGAAAAGAGAACAGATTATGAGTCGTCTGTTAGTGCCATACTAAACGCACAGGGGCTGAACTGATTTAGGTCAGCTTTGAATCTGGGACAGGAACGAGGAGACTGGCTGAATGAGAGAGAGGGAGAGAGAGAGTGAGAGACAGGGAGAGACAGAGAATGAGCGAGAATGAAAGTGAGTGAATGGGGAGAGGGCAAGGGAAAGAAGAGACAAGAAGAAGTAGATAAAGAAGGGGAAGAGAGAGGAGAGAGAGCTTTGAATCTGGAAAAAGACTGAGGAGAATAAATGAGAGGGAGGGAAACAGAGAGAGCAAATAAAAGAGAGTTAACGAGGGGAAATAAATTAATAGAGAATAACATTCTAAACTGTGAATGGGTATGAATGTTCTTGTCTCTAGAATGGTGTGAATGGGGGGACCACAAAAGAGGAGAAGATTGTAGAATGAAGTAAAAGGGGAAGGGTATTCTAGATCAGTGTGAAAGGTGAGAACATGAACAGTGGAAATACGGAGAGCATTGTAGAACAGTGTGAATGGGGAAGAATATTCTAGAACAATGTTAATAGGGAGAGCATTGCAGAACAGTGTGAATGGGGAAGAATATTCTAGATCAGTATGAATGGAAAGAACATTCTAGAACAGTGGGAATGAGGGAAAACATTCTAGAAGAGTGTGAATGGAACAGAATATTCTAGAACTATGTTAACAGGGAGAGCATTGTAGACCAGTGTGAATGGGGAAGAATATTCTAGATCAGTGGGAATGAGGGAAAACATTCTAGAACAGCGTGAATGGAACAGAATATTCTAGAAGAGTGTGAATTTGCATGAATGGAAAGAACAACAGTGGGAATGAGGGGAAAACATTCTAGAACCATGTGAATGGAACAGAACAGTGTTCAAAAACCATGTTACTGGTGAGAGCATTCTAAAACAGTGTGAATGGAAGCAGTATTCAAGAACAGTGTAAATAAGGAGAACACACTAGAACAGTGTGAATGGAACAGAGTATTCTAGAACAGTGTGAATGGGACAGAATAATCTAGGACAGTCTAAATGGGGGGAACATTTTTGCATTCTAGAATAGCGTGAATGGGGAAGAGTATTCTAGACCCGTGTGAATGAAGAGAACATTCTAGAACAATGTGAATGGAGGCAACATTCTAGTATAGTGTGAATAGGGGAGGACATTCTAGAACTGTGTGAATGGGGAGAACATTCTAGAGCAGAGCTGCCCAAAGTAGACCTGTTTGATTGTTTGATTTAGCCAATAGAAAGAAACCAATGAATGTAATAAAACAAAATTTATCTTCACTGAAAAACATACTTTTTACATCGTTCTGTCTTTTTGGCCGTCTGCCCATCACAAACTCTGGGTTCAACTCAGTGGCCTGTAGCAGTTTGCTATTCAGCCAGTAAGCACCATTATAACTCTCAATACTGACCCTTCACAACACTGTGACCTACATTCTGTCCGCTGACAGGCTGCTCCTGCTGGGGACAAAGTCGAGGCATCTCGATCGATAGCTATGATTTCACTGCTTAGACACTAATTAAATAACATTTGCCAGCAAGTGGACTTTGAGTGCTATAAAATATTAACCATGGTATAAGCAAACCATCCCTGACAGTGAGTTCAGCAGGTGTGTAAAGCCTGTTGTTGCTGAGAGCTGACTGAGCGCCCTTGATTGCTTCACAGGGCCAACAGCAGAGGTCAGCAACCCAAATGTTAACAAGAGCCATTTTGTCTCAACAAAAATCAAACCACCTTGGGAGTCTCAGCATTTTATGTCCATTTTATTGAAGTTACCATCTTGGCTGTAAATATGTCTTAATATGTGCTAGCTAATGTACCAGTATAGACTAAAATATATAATATGAATGAAAATACAGACTCACTTTGCTCTGCTTTAAGCTTTAGCTCAGCTATAGTCACTTTTCTCACATCTCTGGCAGGAAACTTTTCCACAAGAGTAGAATACTTTCTTGTGAAACGTCTCTCAATATTCAACTTTTTACGAGGCTGAAGTCGCTTCTCATTCGCCAGCTCCTTGTTCGAACTGCCAGAATGGAACTGCTGCACCATTTAAGGTGGAACGGAAAAAATCTAAGGAGAAGCTGATGAAAGAGAAACTGACTTCAGCTCTGTGACTTTTTAGTGTTTGACAGTTTCTTGTTGCAGATTAAACGTATCAGGAAACCAGCTAAGTACGTATAAATGCAAATAAGTCAGTTTGTCTCCAATTTATCGATGTTCATTTTACATTTTTCTCTTTGCCGTTTCGTTAGCTACTAGCTAGGTGAGATTGATGTCTGCATTGCTATGGTGACCAGCAGTCTGCGCACCAACCTTCAGGGTTAAAGAATTAGCAGTTCTACATTAACTCCAGCATTTAAGACCATTTATTAAAATGGTTTTAAAACTGTGTTGAACGATCAGCAGAGCTTTATTTTACTGTTTACTATTTTATTTTTACCTAAACATCTAATTCTGCTTTGGAGCCGCAACAGGGCAGTAAAAGAGCTGCATGTTGCCGACCCCTGGCCTGCAGAATAAAAACCCTGTATTTATCCATACTCTTTTACTTAAATATGACTACCCGAAGCTGCATTAGGTACTATGCAATATTTTAAGAGGCAGTTTTGTTTTTGTTGGTTTGTGCTGTCATTTACTGTAATATTGTTCATGTTTGACACACTTCATTGCCTATATTTATAGCATAGACATGTGCTGGAATGATCGTTTGATTTGTTTATTTTGAACACCTTAAAGGGCAATTCCACTGATTTTTCAAAATTCCTCTTTAGATTAAGATGTAAACAAAGTCATTCAGAGGCGTTTGATGTGAAATGTTCTGTTTGAGACAAACTTACTTAGAATTGTTCACAGTGGTGGTGATAGGAATCAGACAAGTGAAGAGTTTCATGCCTCTAAGAACTTTCCCACAGATTGTTATTAGAATAAATGGTTATGAGTACGCTACCTGATGTCTGAGGCATTGTTTTGCCATATCTTTAAAAATACTTTCATGGCAGAGATGGTACATGCACCTTGCTGTACGACAAAACGGATGCCAAAGAAAAAAACTTTTTTCAGGTTATCAATTTTTATCATTATCAACATAACATAACTCAGATGACACATGTAGGTTCACTGATCATTCTGGATAACACAATGCACCTACAACACATCTTCTCCACAAGGCAACATTTCACACCAAACCACCCTAATGACTGTGAAAACTTTTTCAATTTGAAGGGGAATTCTACCAATTTGTTAAATTTCCTGCATAATTAAACACTTAAAATGTAAACAAAGTCATTCAGAGCACTCCACTGCACCACTGTAGAGAAACAGAGTCAGAGTTGATCACAGTGGTGGACAATAGGAACCAGACATTGAGTTTAATGCCTCTATAAGCTCCTTCACAGAAAGCTATTATATAAAATGGTTATAAATACACTGCCTGATAACTGAGACATTGTTTTATGATAGTTTTGAGATACGGTTTTGGTTTAAAATGTCCATTTAAAAAATTTATCATGGTGTAACGATGCATGCATGGAGTTGTAAGGCAAACAGACCCAAAGAAAACTTTTTTTTTTGTTTTACCATCATCAACATTACATATGGTAACATCTGTTCACTCTAAACCTCAGTCTCAGTCATAACTGCTCACTCTCTGTCCTGGTCTTTGCCTTTTTCTTGGTTTCCCAGTGCCATGTGTTTTTGTTTGTCTGCCATGTGCCTTTGCTTTCTTGTGACATATGCCTTTGTTGTTGTTTTGGTCTGTCTCCTCCTTGGTCCTGCCCCCTTGTTGCCTGCTCCACCTGCATATAGTCTGTAGTAGGGCTGGGCGATAAAACGAAAACGATAAGTATCGCGATACAACTTTTCCTCGATAGAGCGCTAAGACAGGTTCGATAAATGTTCGATATAATACACCACTCTCACACTTCCACGTTTTAGCGAAAGCCCTGGTGGCGTTTTCTACTGCAAGGAAAGCGACACTACTCTGCTGTCGCCAGACGAGGGCGCACTTCCGAGTTTTTCGACTTGATTAGAGAGGGAGAGGGCCACGAGTAAAAAAAGGGTCGCCAAATATACTTTAGCAATAGCTGAAACGCGGAGTTATACAGTCCCTGTCTGAGTGGATGTTATCGGCGATCTGTTCTCCTGTGACCGAGTGTGAGTGACGAGGTCAATGGTGTAACTGTACTGCCCTACGGTGAACTCACCTCTTTCCGTGCATCCTAACAACTTTAGCGGTGTTAAATCACGTCTGCAGCGCCGTGTTACAGCGCCAAACCGTCATATTTTAGTATTAGTGCATTCTCGAGCAACGAAAGTTAAAGAAAGAAGTGGGTTCATGTTCGAAAGT